GCCAAGATGACACAGATGTTGGATTTAATAAGGCTTTAAAGCATCTATTATAAAAATTCTCCAACAGACAATTACAGATACTATTAAAACTAGTAGAAAGTTTCAGCAAAGAAATAGAAGATATAAAGAAGAACCAAATGGAAAAGTTAGAATGGAAAAATACAGTAACCTACATAAAAACTCCCTGGATAAGCTCAATTTCAAAATGGAGATGACAGAGGAAAGAGTTCGTGAATTTAGAGATAGATGTTATCTGATCTTGACAGGAGCAGAGGAGAAAGTGCGGTGAAAGTATTTGGAGAAATAATGGCTAAAGACTTCCCAAATTTGGCAGAAGATACAAACAACGATTCAAGAAGCTCAGTGAACACACACAGAATACACTTGAAGAATTCCACACCCAGATGCATTCTGACCACACTGCTGAAAACCGAAGACGAATGAAAAGTCATGAAAGAAAGCATCTGGAGAAAAGCCACATGCAGGGAGCATCAGTTAGAAGGAGCACAGATCGCTCATCAGAAACCACAGAGGCCGGAGAAGTGGCCCAGGATTCGAGTGCTGGAAAAGGACTCAGCCAGGAATTCTCTCTTCAGTGGAGCCTGCCTTTGAGAGTGGGAATGAAATAGAGCACCCCACTGAAGAAAACTAGAGGGAGATCATTGCCAGTAGCCTGTTCCAAAAGAATTGCTAAAGGAGGTTCTTCAGACAGAAATGATAAAAAATCTGGGTAAATGTAACAGATTACTTTCTCCTTGAGTTCTTTAAAATGAGTTAATGGCTGGCCCTGACCGGTTTGGCTCAGCGGTTAGAGCGTTGGCCTGCGGGCCAAAGAGTCACAGAATCGGTTCCGGTCAAGGGCATGTACCTCGGTTTTGGTTCAGTCCCGGCCCTGGTCAGGGGTTGTGTGGGAGGCATCCAGTCAGTGTTCAGTCCCAGACCCAGGTTGAGTTCATGTGGGAGGCAACCGGTCATTGTGTCTTCTCTCATATTGGTGTTTTGCTACCCCCCCACCCCCACCCATTCTGGCTAAAAATAAATGGAAAAAATATCCTCTGATAAGGATTTTTAAAAAATGAGTTAATGTCTGAAAGCAGCTTTTTTTTTTTTAAAACATTTATGGGATTTCAGAAGTATATACATATAATGTGTGAGATCCCTCTAACATTTGTGCCCATGGGTTTTGAGTTGTGGAGGTGATTGAATGGTGGCACAGAGATGTCAGTGCCATTGAGAGGGATGAGAGGACAGTTTCTCTTCACTCACTTGTGATTAGTACAGTCCTGATGCCAAAACCAGACAGACAGGGCAAAATAGGGGGGAAACTACAGACCCAAAGTTTCTCGTGAATATAGATGCAAAAGATGTGGAAATTTGTAACAGAATATTAGCAAATGTAATCCATCAATATATAAAAGAATTATACATTATGACCAAGTGGTGATTATTCCAGGAATACAAGGCTGGAAATCCATCAGTATAACCTGCTGTATGAATAGGCTGAGGAAGTAAAATCACACAATTATATCAGTTGATACAGGAATGTGTTTAGCAAGCTTCAACACCCATTCATCTTCATGTTCCTAGAAAAGTATAGGACAATTTCCTCAACATGATGATGAATATCTATTAAAAAATCTAATATACTTAATGGCATAAGATTGGATGCTTTCTCTCTTAGTGAACTCGGCAAGCGTGTCAGCTCTCACCACTACCTGTCAGCACAGTGTCGAAAGTTCTAGCTAGTACATTAAGGCAGGAAAATAAAATAAAAGGCATATAGATCAGGAAAAAATGTTGTGGGTGACAATTATCTGCATAGAAAATACCAAGGAAACTATAAGAAAAAAATGCTAGAACTAGAAAGAGGTTCAGCAAGTCACAAGATACATGATCAATATACAAAAGTCAATTGTATTTCTGTTTACTAACAGTGAACACATAGAAACCAAAATGAAATACTGGAGTGTAAAACTAATAACTATGTACAGAACTTGTTGCTTAAAGGCAACACCCTGCTGACAAAGCAGAGGTCGGGATGGAGAGCATGCTGCACGCTCAGGCGCCAGCGACTCGGCACCTGCACTTCCCTCAGGTCACTGCACAGCGGGACACAGTGCTGGACAGGATCAGTCTAAATGTGTATGGACAGACAAAGGAGCTAAAACAGCTACAACTTTAAATGAAACGATGTAGAGCAAACCCGATTCTACCATAGGTAATTAATATAAATAAGAGTTAAGTTCCTATGGCATCTCATCAGTGTTACGTTGAATGAAATGACATTGTTTGAGGACCTGCTGTACTGTGATTTCCTATACATACCTATCTCTGATAAAGTTTAATTTATAAATTAAGACAGGAAGAGATTAACAACATAACTAATAAAATGGAAGAATTGTGACCATGTACTATAATGAAAGCTGTGTGCACGTGGTCTCTCAGAGTACCTCACCCTTCTCGTGATGAGGAGATGCTTGCGTGATGAGGTGCAGTGAGGTGAAGATGTTGGGTCGTAGTGAAGTGTTAGGCTCTTGTTGACCTTCTCACCAGATGATACGTCAGGAGGATCATCTGCTCTGGGTGATCCTGGATCCTCAAGCCAAGACGAGTGTCCACGGGTGACTGAAACTGCGGAAAGCGAGACTCGGGTAAGGGGGAGCTACTGCAATGACAGTATCGATGCCGGCCCGGATGGGGAGGATCGGATGTCTCGTGCGTTGCTATGGGAATGTAAAATGGCATAGCTGTGCTGGAACACAGTTGTGGCAGTTCCTTGAAAAACCAGACACGCACTTACCCTTTGACCCAGCGGTTGCCCTCATGGACAGTCACCCCAGAGAAATTAAAACAAGCCCACATAAAACCTGTGCGTGTGTGTTCGCAGCATCGTTCCGTGTAAGAGCCCACAGGAAAGCCGAAAGGCCCCAGTAGGTGGTAAAGCACGGTCGTCCCTCCGTGTCACAGAGCAGTGCTCCATGCACGCAGCACTGCAGGCGGAGTTCAGGAGCAGTGTGTGCAGAGGAGCCTGTCTCAAAAGCCACATACTGTACAACTCATTCATATAACGCTCTAGAAGTCACATAATCGTAGCGATGAGAACAGATTAGTGGTTGCAGGAGGCGGGGTAAATGTGACTATTAAAGGGAAACATGGAGGAAGTCATTGTGGTGGTGGAATCATTCTGTATCTTGATTGAAGTGGTATTTCATGACTGTACATGTGATAAAATGCCATAGAAGTAGCTACACACTGTCTCAATGTAAATATCCCCATTTTGACACCGGACTGTAATTATGTAAGATGTAACGATTGGAGGAAGCAGCAAAGAACCTTTATGTATTATCTTGGCAACTTCCTGTGAGCCTATAATTATTTCAAAATAAAATTTTTAAAAACAAAAACAACTTTAAACCCACAGCCCAAATTGGAATCAGTTTAAACAGGTGGCAGCAAAGTGTCGGTTTGGAGGTGTTCAGGGATGCTGACGCAGTGTTGAACTCTGCCTGCACATCGGGACAGAGGGATGGTCAGTCATGTGCTTTGTGTTCAGTGCAATGACCCCACTGAGAGAACAGCAGGCTGCTCTCATGAAACAACACGGCCCCTCTGCTCAGCCGCTGTCCCCGTCATTCTTTACCGAGTCCCCAGACATCCCAGGTTTACCCAGAAGGACACAAGGAAGCAGCACAGTCATGACTGCATCACACTGTTCAGGTGGAACTTTCCCGCTGTGACGTTCTCCTCCACTGTAGTTGTGGGTGTGTATGCAGAGTGTGCACGTGAGGATCCATTCCACCGAGGACACCTGGCCCTCACCCAGCGAGTCTGGATCTAGGTGCAGGTTTGCAGAGCCTCCTGTGGCTGGCGCTGCGTGGGTGGGACTTTTCAACAGCACCATTTGAGGTAGCATTATTCTAATTTTAAAGTATAAATCAGGTGTCCAGGCTCATTTCTTACAAATAGCTATCCGTTCAGAACATTTGCACTGATGATTTAATTTGAGTAACAGTGTTATTTAGTAAGCACTTACACGTGCAAGACACTGTTGTCAGAATTTTACATTCATTATTTCGTGGCAGGCCCTCAAATACCCAAGACCACACTATCCTTATGTCTCTTTTACAGTTCAAGAAACTGGGCTCAGAGGGGTGAGGTAACTTGAACCAGGTCACCAGTTGTGTGGCTGGAATTGAGCCTGAGAACTGACTCCAGTGCCCAGGTTATGACAGAGTGTGTTCCTCTGTTCATGCGTGCGTGCCTGTTTGCTCCGCTCACTTCTACCTCCCAGAGCAGCTGATTGCCAGAGGACCCAGCTTTCTGAGGCACAGCGTTCAGACCTCCCCCGATAGCAGATTTTACCAGGAGCCCGCGGTGTATCTGAGAACGGCAGCTGCCCGGACTGTCTGATTCTTTACATGCAGGTCCGTAGTTAGACAGTCCAGGCTTGCTTAGAAAACAGACACTAGGTTATATGGGTTAGACCTTGTTCCAGCTGGAAGGAAGTTGTCATTAAATTAAAGTTTTAACGCCTTCAGGAACTCCCATTTGCTTTATCTGGAAACGAAGGACAGCAGTAGTGAAGCACAAGTCAAGGTTTGTTCGGGAATAAATTGTTTAACTTGATTATCTTATCTCTTAATTATGTCATAAGAAGTAATGAATGACAAGTAGCAAACAAAGATGTTTGTTCTGTACAATGTAAGTAAGTCTGGCCTTGCCACTCTCCACTGTGCAGCTGGGCAAAGCCCCGAGTTCACATTGCAGGGTGCACTGCTGGGCAGGCACCCCCCTCAGACTTAGAGGCAGCGTTTTCACTTTCTGTAAACAGTTGAGCAGCTTATACCCGTTACTTTAAATCCCTTATTTAAAGCATGCCTTTTCCCCACGGCTGTGAGCACGCTCCTCGCTTTCGTTCAGCTCATCATTCGTAATTACATGTGTGATGTAATCTGTTACAGAGAGCTTTTGTGAACGGATCTGATTTCCTCTCCTTACAGGAGTATATTAAAGGAATCTGTGAGCCTGAACTAGAAGAAAGAGAATGCTATCCCCGGGCCATGCACTGCATTTTTGTTGGGGCTCAGAGCCTGTTTCTGAAGAGCTTGATCCAGGACACCTGCGCCGACCTCTGCGTCCTGGATATTGGTCTCCTTGGCATCCGAGGAAGCGCGGAAGCCGTGGTCATGGCCAGGAGTCACATTCAGCAGTTTGTGAAGCTCTTTGAGAGTCATGAGAACCTGCCCAGCAGCCAGAAGGAGTCCGAGGTGAAAAGGGAATTCAAACAATTTGTTGAAGCTCGTGCAGACAATTATACAATGGACTTGTTGCTTTTGCCCACTTCCTTGAAAAAAGAACTCTTGACGCTCACACTAGGTGAAGAGACTCTGTTTGGAACGGGCGATGGTGACGGCACTGAAATCAGAGCTTCGAAGCAGACGGAGTTCCCACAGGGTGCTGCCACAGGACAGAATGTCTCCGCAGACGAGGTGGCTCTGCAGGAAGACGCGAGAAATAAAGCTGGGACCCCTGTTTCCGAGCTTACGAAGCAAATGGACACAGTGTTTTCCAGTTCACAAGATGTTTTCTTTGTTCCTGTAAACGGCCTAACCGCTGAGGAAGAGGCGCTTTGCAAAGGCAGAGCTTGTCACAAAAGGAGGTTTTCCGACTCTGAAGAAAGGCATACGAAGAAGCAGTTTTCTCTGGAAAACGTTGACGAGGGGGAGCTTGTACCCGATGGTAAGACGTCAGCTGGAGGTGTCATCACTGACCTGTCTGACTCGTCCAGTGATCCTGACGTCTTAAGTCCAGATGTGAAAGACACCACTGAGGAAATGGAACACAGTATCCTGGTGAACTTTTTTAAAACCATGGGCTACTCCCAGGAAATTGTTGAAAAAGTCATTAGGGAGTATGGGCCATCTACTGAACCATTATTGCTCTTAGAGGAAATTGAAAAGGAAAATAAAAGATTCCAGGAAGACAGAGAATTTTCAACTGGCACTGTGTATCTGGAGACCAACAAAACCAAAAATAAAGATGTTTGTAGCAGCATAAATGAGCTTACAATGGATTCTACTCCAAAGAAAACACAAACTCACACACAGCAAAATATGGTTAAAAAATTTTCTCAGTCACCATTCAAAGTAGAATCAAAACCATGTACCTCAAATTGCAAAATTAATGCTTTCAAAACAGTGCCAGTAGAACAGAAACAAGAACCCTGGAGTTCACATCAGAACTACACTGGGAACGTGGACCTTGAAACCGATGGCCTTGCACTCTCTGTTGCCCCTTCAAATCCCAAAGAAGTGAATTTTGTTTCGAGAGGAGCTTCAAGTCACCAGCCCAGAATTCCAAGTTTCCCCGAAAATGGTCTGCAGCAGCACGGGGAACCCTTGCTTCCGCATCATCTCAAGTCTGCCTGCGACGCGCATCCTGGGTGCTGTGGCTCTCCTCAGTCTAAGCCCAGCTGCCAGCCCCTTTCTGCGGCGGCGCTGCTGCCCCAGCTGGCGCTTGCTGCTGCGGACGCGAGGCTGGCAGGGCTTTCTGATCACATCGACTCCTCGGTTACGGGGGTTCAAAGGTTCCGAGATACTCTGAAAGTGCCCTACAAGCTGGAATTGAAAAACGAGCCAGGGAGGACGGATCTGAAGCACATCGTTATAGACGGGAGCAATGTTGCAATTACGTAAGTCCACTCTGCAATTTTTATTATAGTTTTAGGTGGGGCTTTGAGCAACATCCCAGAATTACATGCATTTGTAAGGAACTGTGTTGTGTGTCTAGTTGATCTACTGCCTTTCCTGGGGGCGGGGGCAGCTGGTCGGAAAGGTCCCGTTATTCCGTCTTCTGGATGTAAAGTTCGCTCCGCCCTGCAGAGCCTACACTTCTGGAGCCAGGAGATGATAGAAAGTGTATCTCTCACGTTGCTTTGCCCGGTGAGGAGCAGTATCGAGACTTTTAAATCCTTAGGTTCTTAACAGCATGAATACCATTAGGTTCTGAATACAAGGATGGAGCTTAAGGCAAAAACAGTTTTCTGTCTTTGTATGCAACAGTCTGCCAGGTGTCAGGCCAAGAGTGTACAGTGAGAACAGGAGTGATGTACTTGTGAGAGCAATTTCCTTCCTAAGGAACTGCGTCAGTTTGAGTTTTATGGGCCTCTACTCTTACAAAAAGCTTCTGTATTTGTTTTTAGTAAAAACAGCTAAATGATCATTTCTATGTAGCCTGTCTTAGAACCCTCATATGATTCTGATTTTATACCTCGGTCATGAGCTTGGGTTTCTTCTGTGAGGAGCAGTTTAATATGGTGGCTAAGAAGAGTGGGAGGGCCCGGCCGGTGTGGCTCAGTGGATTGAGCATCGTCCCATGGACTGAGAGGTCCCAGTTTGATTCCCAGTCAGGGCACATACCTGGGTTGCAGGCTTGATCCCCAGTAAGAGACTGTGCAGGAGGCAGCCATTTGATGTTTCTCACACCGATGTTTCTATCTCTCCCTTCTTCTCTCTCTAAAAAAAAAAAATCAATAAAAACATACTTTTTTAAAAAGAGTGGGAGGGGAGAGTCAGAGTCTCCGCCCCACTTGGGCCAGCTGGTGACTGTGGCAGGCTTCTGCCCGCTGACTTTCCCTGGCCTTTCACCCGTCCTAGAGGACGTCTTTGTCGTGCCGTCTCAACTACTGCCAGTCCAGCCTCCCTCCGGTTTCCACGGTCAGTCGCTCCATTGACTTTGAAGAAGACCTGCTGCTCAGGAGTCGGGGCACCTGAGCGTGGAGCGAACGGAGAAGCCGAAACGTTTCTCTGAACTGCCGAACACCAATTCATGCCTTTCTTTTATAGGAATACTGGGTGAAATTGAAAATAAGTTTTATTATTGAAATATATATATTCATATTTTGTTTTGTTAAATTTTTAAATAAATGCACAAGAAGGTAATATAAGGAACCCCATGTTGGATTCACTTGGGGTTCCCATGACAAGCCCGTGCCCATCTTCAGTAGTGACCGGCTCTGGCCTGTATCACTGCATCTCAGATAGGTCATTTCATCTACATCATTTGAGTATCTTTGTTTTGTTTTGTTTTTTTGGGGGGGTGGTACGTGCTCCTAGTGGGAATCGAACCCAGGACTCTCTGGTCTGCAGGCTGTGGCTCCAACCACTGAGCCAAACCAGTCATGCCTATTTTTTTAAATAAAAGAATTATTTTTTAAATTTTGTAATAGATTATTGCTGCTGTTCTTTGTTGTCAAAGGAGAAAGAAAATGCCAGCATTGCCCTGGCCGGTTTGGCTCAGCGGTTAGAGCGTCGGCCTGCGGTCTGGAGAGACCCGGGTTCGGTTCCCGCTAAGGGCATGTACCTCGGTTGCAGTTTGTCCCCGGCCCTGGTTGGTCGTGCGGGTGGCAGCCACTCGATGTGTCCCTTTCACATCGGTGTTTCCCTCTCTCTCTCTTCCTCTCTCTCCTTCCCACACTGTCTGTACAAAAAATGGAAAAATGTCCTCGGATGAGGATCAAAAAAAAAAAGAAAATGCCAGCATTTCACGTTCAAGCTTGAAGAGAGGGCGTAAAGAGATGTGCATACTTGTCTTCCTTTCCGAGCAGCACCATTGTCGTCATTCCACCTCGGGTTCTGGCAGTTCCTTTAGGGATGCCCGGCAAAGGGCCCCGCTGCTGTGCATGATCTGAGCACGTTTGAAGGGCAGCTCCGGCCTCCCAGGTCCTCACTGTCACAATGTCTTGAGCCAAATGATGATATAAAATGTAGGTCACGATTGTGAGTGATACTAATCCTTTTTCATTTTTCTGTATGTGGAAGGATTTCCCAAATTGGTGTTCAAAGAATAAGAAATGCAAATTTACATAGAACAAGTGGTGATAGTGACACTTTTTTTAAACCTTTTTGGAGTAGTACTGTATTTCTCAGAGGGGCCGCTATTGCAATTTGGAGTGGTGTCTCTGTCCCGGACAGGGTGTTTTGCATATCTGGTCCCTCCTACTGTGGCCGTAGCGCCTCCCCCTAGTCATGTGGTAGCCCAACACTCTCCCACGTTTTTCCTGACACCCTTGGGTGCAGTACCATTTCTTGAAAACCTCTGAATCAGTGCACTAAGGGAAACCACAAGCTGACTTGCATTAATTTTTTGAAAACTGATTCTTTGAGGAGGGTTTCAATTTTCTTTGAACAGATGTCTTAAGTTTAAAGGCACCAGTTTTTTGTTTTTTTGTTTTTATAATTTTCACCCAAGGATATTTTTCTATTTATCTTCAGATAGAGTGGGAGGGAGGGAGAGAGAAACATCGATGTGAGAGGGACACATTGACTGGTTGCCCCCCACATGACCCCAACTAAGGCCGGGGACGAACCACAACCGAGGTCTGTGCCCTTGACCGAATTGAACGGTGACTTTGGTCCACAAGCTGACGCTCTAACCACTGAGCAAAACCAGCCAGGGCAAAGGCACCACTTTTACAAAGAAGACAGACTTACAACTTGATGTAGATTGATTTCAAAACACCAGTGATTAAAATTAACTTATTCTGGAGAGAAACTGCTTAATGGGTATAGGGTTTTATTTTGGAGTGAGGGAGATGTTTTGGAACAAGATGTAAGTGGTGGTTGTACTACATTGTGAATGTACTAAATACCACTGAATTGTTCACTTTAAAGTGATTGTTTTTTGTTGTTTATTTCATCTCAGAATTTTTTGAAAGTTGATTAAAATTAAGCCTTATTCTAAATTAATTACTTGAGTATGAAATGCAAATTATAGTCTATAAATTTCATGAAGAAAGTGATTAGATTGTGTTTGTTCTGTTCTCTGAACTACCCCCAAGGTCAGTGGTGCCTGGCACATGGTGGGCTCTCAGTAACAGTTTGTTGAATGAACGAACGAACGAACGAACGAGTGAGTGAATGAATGAACAAGTGAGTGAATGAATGAATGACGGAATTGTTAAAGGTTAGAATTTTTGGCCCATGCCTGGAAGCTCAGTTGGTTATAGCATCGTCCAGATATGCCAAGGTTGTGAGTTTGATCCCTGGCCAGGGCACATACAGGAGTCAACCAGTGAGTGCACGAATACACTGAGTAACAAATTCATGTCTGTCAAGAACAGAGTAGTTTGTTTTTTTTATTACTTTTCAGCACCCATTTACAACTTGCATTTCCAGTTTCTATTCCAGTGATCGATTTAGGTTAAACTTTAACTGAGGCAATATATTTGATTTAACAAATGTTTGGAATCTTAAAGCTGAAATTGTTATATGAGAGGTCTGTACTTTATTATTGTTTTAAATATGTTTTTAGTGATTGTAGAGAGGAAGAGAGAGGAGAGGGAGAGAGAGAAACATAGATCAAGCCCACAACCAAGCGTGTGCCCCCAACCAGGGATCAGACCGGCAGCTCCCTGGTGCATGGATGATGCTCAGCCAACCAAGCCACCCTGGCCGGGGCATGTACTTTATTTATTTTTCTTTTTTCTTAAACATCATTGACATTTATTTTTTCTTTATTGATTTTAGAGAGAGGGGAAGTGAGAGGGAGAGAGAGATAGAAACATCGATGAGAGAACATCGACTGGCCACCTCCTGCATGCCCCCCACCGGGGATCAGGCCCACAACCTGGGCATGTGCCCTGACCAGGAATTGAACCAGCGACCTCTTGATGCATGGGTCGACGCTCAGCTACTGAGCCACACCGGCTGGACGTACTTTATCTTTTAAAACATAAACTTCACACCAATTTTGGGAGGTGAAAATCATCTAATTTACATAGAGTAAAGTGGCTTTAAAATCTTGTGCAAGATGACAGACATGACATGGGGCCCGTCCTGCCCTTTCCAGCACACGCCCTGCCTCTTCCATAGAGGTGGAGGCTAGGACCAGGGGCTCGGCAACACTGATCCTACTGTTGAGCTGCTTACGCCCTGCTGAGCAAATGTCGCTCATTTAATTCAACCCATTGGGGAAACAGTTAAAAAGGAAATGTGAACCCTTAAGCAGTAGGATCTTGGAACCCATCCTGCAGCAGCTCAAGCCCACCCACCACGGTTTCTGCAAAGCCTTTGTTTATCTGCCAGCCAGAATGTCCGCAGTTCATGCACATCGTGAGAAATTCCAAAATACCCTACATAGTGCTGCTGATTATTCATATCTGTACTTGGTTTTTCCCCTTTGTCACCATGAGTGAGTCACACGATGAGTCAATGGAAATTGCTTGCGGTGTATAGCTAGACATTACAGTGGCAGCCAGATAATGCTAGCTCTGTCAGTCTGAAACTTCAGCATGAGAACACCTGACTTATCTGGGTGGACAATTTTCCATAGTTGAGGTTTGCCCCTTCACTTGCCAGAACTATGTATTATCAGGGGTCCAGGGCTTTTTTTTTTTTTTTAATCCTCGTCCGAGGGCATTTTTGCATTTATCTTCAGATCGAGTGGGAGGGAGAGTGGAAGGGAGGGAGAGAGAAACATCGACGTGAGAGAGAGACATCTAGTGGTTACCACCCATAAGACCCCAACCGGGGCTGGGGACAAACTGCAACCGAGGTACATGCCCTTAGCGGGAACCCAACCTGGGACTCTGGTCCATAGGCTGATGCTCTAACCACTGAGCAAAACTGGCCAGGGCCAGGGCGATTTTTATTAAGTTGCAGCTATAGAAGGAAACTGCTCTTTCCTGGGTAATTCAGAAAGGGTTTTTCACTATTTCCCCACACTGCCCTGCCTGGTTCTATGATTGTCATCAGTTATCACCAGCTCTGTCACCTGTCACCCACCTTCTTTCTGCTTTGGATACTCTTCCTTCTAGTTGGCTGCCTACTGTAGTGTAGGAAACAACCAGGTGATACCTCACTTGTTTCCAGTTGTGAGAGCAGGAGCCTGAGTCTCCCTTGCGAGCCTGGACCCCTGGCCTCAGGCCTGATGCCCGCCCACTCCACGTTTGGAGCTGGGCGCCCCAGAGCGCTGCCTTCCCAGAACTAGGGGGTCACTGTGTATGTGCTCTTTGTCGCTGAGTCAAAGTAGACAGCTGGTGTGGGCGTAGCAGTCCACCAGCTCCGCTGGCTTGATCACAGAGGCAACGAGACAGTGGTGATGAAGCGCATTTCTGCCTGGTCTGGAGGTGGGAGCTGGGGTAGGAAGGACCCTCTGAATTATTTTGAAGACAGCAGTTTGGCTCCACTTGATCTTCCTCTGTAGTCTTATTTTCTGGGTAAATCTCTATGTTCTCCATTAGAAAATTTTCAGGTTAGCAAGTAATTTGATCTTAACCACTTAGGAGAATGTTTTAGAAACTGATGTAGAGCTAGTGTTCCTAGAAGCTCTAGCTCTGAGCTTTCCCTCTGCGCTCGTGAGTGGTCCCGGGCGGCAGCGTCTGGCCTGCTGGCGTCTCCCCCTTCCCTCGGTGCTCCACCGGGTGGCTGGGTCCGCTGCGTCCGCCGTTTCCTTGTTGCATCTCCAAGCATTTGAGGGAAGAGGAGACTAAGTTCACATTTGTATCTGATGAATAAACTAAGGAAGCACTTGACAAAAATGTTTAGTGCCTTTCCCTCAAGGGTATTTGTTGTATCCTTTTCTAAGACGTATAAGTAGCCCTTGGTTCTTCAAAAAACCAAGGGATACATACAAGTTGTATTTGGTTTGGCCTGTGGTTGACATCAACTATAGGCCTGTCCTGGCTGTTAAACAATTAGAATGATTTATTCTTTTTAAAAATTACACACACACACACACATAACCTACAAAAACGTGCAGCCTATCTTCCAGTGACAAATGTCCTATGACTGCATTCTTGCCACATTGTGAATGTTTCTGGACAAACAGCCACTGCATCAGTCCATCAGGAATGGGCTGGTCACTGCGTGCTCTCTGCACGCGGTGTGTCTGTGCGGCTCTCTTCTGGGTGCTCGATGTTTGCTGGTGTCCAGCCCACTCCTGCTCCACGAGAATAGAGATTCACTGGGGACGTGCCCTGTGGGGTCTTGGGAAGGCCCCTGGCTGCGGCTGCGGCTGCGGCTGCGGCTGCGGCCTGAGTGGTGCCAGCCCGGGTCCCTCTGGCAGTGCAGCCCAGTCAAGCTGCCGGGTCTCTCGCCAGCTGTTTGCTCTGCTCCCTAAGGAGTCGAAGTCCATTGCGTCAGCTGAGTGCTGCGATTCCGGCGCAAGTACAGGAGGGGAGAGGACGGTGAGGCCTAGGGCTGGAGACCAGAAGAGGCTGCGGCTGGGCCTGAGGGTCGCTGGGGGAGCAGGGCAGGCGGCAGAGATCGCTCATGAAGCAGCGAGAGCAGCTCGACCTCCTGGCCCATGTCAGGGGTGAGATGACACGTGGTCGCGGCCAGATCCCCTCTGGCCAGTCAGACATGGAGGGACTGAGGGCAGACCCTGGTTTGTCTGGCAGGACGGTGCTGTCGAAGACCCGGACAGGCTGCGTTTCAGGATCAGTCTAACTAGAGTTGGGGTGGGTTGGAGTTAGGAGAGCCGGGGGTGGGTGGGGGCACATGAGCTTGCGGTGGCAGGACTTCCAAGGGATGGACGTAGCCACCAAGTGGTTGTGACATGGAGACACTAGACGTGGAGAGAAGACGGGCCTGAAAATGCAGAAGTTGATGTGGTTGGTGCACAGGTGCTCATGGAAGCGGTGAAGATCCATTGTGCTGGTCTCAAACTGGAGCATCATAGTTTGGATTTAGATCTTTTTTTCTTTCTTTCTAATACTCATGGGTTGGCAAACAGATTACCACTTGCAAAATTTTAAACTTTTTAAAAACACTTCTGTAACTTCCACTTTTACTTAACTGCCCGAGAATAAAACTTGAATGTTTTTCTTGTTTCTTTTTAAGTGTGTTACCAGATCTGGGGCAGAGGACATTTAGTAGCCCTGTGCACGGGCCATGCAGCACTGTGTCTGTGTCTGTGTGTCTGGAACACAGCCGTGCTCGCTCGTTCTCCATCGGAGGGTGGGCGGTGCCTCAGAGCCGGCGTGGCCGGGCAGCCCTGCCCTTGACAGCAAAGCTCACTGACTGTGTTCTGCGGGGTTCCTGTCTGTTTCCTTCCTCCCTGCCTTCTGCACCTTCGCCATGCTGTCCTCTGAGGCCCCAGGAGTTCCCCTTCAGCCTTGCCCTCGGGCTGCAGACAGTGTGCTGTGCAGTCCCGGGAAGGGCACGGAGCCCTCCTGCCGCAGGAAGCCCCGGCCTCCGGAAGCTGTGCTGCCGCTGACCTGTCCCTGGCTACTGGTGCAGCCACTCGGCTTCAGCAGCAGATCTGATCATGTTCGGGGAGCCAACGAGGCCAGTGATGAGGCAGGGACGACAGAATGGGCTCTTCGTGCGAACAACACACAGTCGCAGGGCAGCGCGCACGTCTCCCCACGAAGCCCCGCCCCTGCACAGCAGCACGCAGTCACCCCCACGACCTTGCCGTAAACAGTCTCACTTGTGTTCCCACAGCCACGGTCTGAAAAAGTTCTTTTCTTGTCGTGGAATCGCGATTGCAGTCGAGTATTTCTGGAAGCTTGGGAACAGAAACATCACTGTGTTTGTCCCACAGTGGAGGACAAGGCGCGACCCCAATGTCACAGGTGAGGCAGGCTCCTTCTCCCAGGTTTCTGATCAGGTGTTTAATGAGTTGGTTTATAATTGCAACTGCAGCCCTGGCCTGTGGCTGCGCGGTTGCCCACGGACCAGAGAGTCCCGGGTTCGATTCCAGTCAAGGGCGCAGACCTCGTTTGCAGTTCGTCCCCAGCCCTGCTTGGGGTTGTGTGGGAAGCAACCAGTCGATGTGTCCCTCTCACATTGATGTTTCTCTCCCTCCCTCCCTCTTTCCCTCCCTCCACTCTATTTGAAGATAAATGGAAAAATATCCTCAGGTGAGAATTAAAAAAAAAAAAAAAATGAAAATGATCACTTGATAAATTTAGATCCCTCAAATAGAATGGCTTTTTAATGGCCTGCTTAATAGCTAATACAAATGATTTGTGAATCGTATGGTACTGCATAGCTGACCTGCAGGCCACACACACAAGGCTTGAACTTACTGTGAATCATGAAATATTCCGGGGAAACTGAAGGTCGTTTGTTTCTCAGGTCGTAGTGGGCAGACTGGAAGGGCTGTTGGGGCAGCTTCACACAGAGAACCTGAGCACCTGGAAATAACCGGGGGTGTGGGGTGAAGGCAGGATTTACCCAAAGCACTGAGCAGGATTCAGCCTTGGCCACCGAGATGGGATGGTGAAAGCGCACATTCCCAAGGGCCCGGCCTCCCTCGCCTTGGGGAGTGTTTGTCCTGGCAGTAGGCACTGAGGACGAGCAGAGCCTCTCACTGGCGGTTGTGTTTGCACTGGTGTCCCTGGGAGTCTGGTGAGCCCTGGGCGCGGTGCGTGTCCGTCCAGTAAGACTGCAGGGCGTTCCAGCGGAAGTGAGGGTGCTTGCCCTTGTCGCCCGGGCCTTTGGCTTCTTTGCCCATCGCTGGTTTTCTAAAATGTGGCTGTGGCCCTCGTTTCTCTTCTGTCACCCCCCATCCCCAGCAATGAACATGAAAGTCGGTGCATATCTGTCAGATAACAGAGGCTGAGCAGGGTGCCGGCTAGAGGGAGGCCTTGGCCGGCCCTGGGTGGGGACCCGCAGGCCTTCCTGGGTCCCAGGCCGAGCAGGCCTCTCACGCTGCTTCTCCCATCGGGGGCTTCGGCCTCACTGTCCTCTGCTACCTGCAGTGTGGCCAGCAAAGAGTCCTGGGTGGTTAAGAAGCAAATGAGATTAACTTTTTCATGTTCACAAATTTCTAGTCAGTTTTTACATCGCATTTGCCCTAGTATATGTCTTGCTATCTTGATAGATTTTTTTTTTCCTTCCCAGTAAGTTAGTAAAATTGAGTCTTCCTGAGTCAGTAGAAAAAAGGTTTTCCCACAACTCTCCAGGTGAAACATTTGGGGGTCCATTCATTAATTTAAACGTTGGGGGAAATGGCCTTTCTGAACACGTGTCCACCTTATTCCATGAACAGAACAGCACTTCCTAACCCAGCTCCAGGAGCTCGGCATATTATCGCTGACTCCCGCACGGATGGTCTTCGGAGAAAGAATTGCTTCTCATGACGACAGGTAGGAAAGACCGTTCTCCTTTCTCAGGTGGGCGTGGGGTGGGAGAAGCCAGCCACCTGCTCCGTGGGACCCTTCACCCTACCTCTGGACCCACATCTCTAAAGGACTCACTTCATTCAGGGGTTGAGACTTTTACTATTTATGGTTATTCAGGTTATATACTTAATGTTCTTTGTTTATACTTAATGTAGGGGTATGGGAACATTTATAAAAGCTGTTGAGTTAGCGTGTTTTGGTCTTTACTTACATAAAACATGACTGGGGATCCATAAGGAAAAGCAGGTTTTAGTCTTTTTTGGTGCTAAAAGTAATGTTTTCTTATCTCAGTGTGACAGCCTCAAGTGGTTTTCAAACATTACCTATCTCCTGGTTACTTCGGCCAGTGACTGTCATTGCGGTGCCTGAGCCCTCTGACTTCATGCCATCATGCTCCCAGGTCTCATCGAGAGGGCTCAAGCCATGGACACTCCAGCAATGAGACACATCTCTTCTCCACATTCATTCTGACCTTTTTTTTTTTATCATGTATCTTTCCATAGCTTGAATTTGAGTGAATCTATCACTTGGACTATACAGAATGGCATTTCTGAACATTACTTCTCAAGAGCAGAAAATGTGAACCTATGGGGAAAAAATTGCAGGGCTGTCTGTACCAGCAGCTGGTCTCAGAACCAAGCAGGGGCTCACAGCTGAGACCCGCGGAGGGACTGCAGGCGGGTGGGCCAGTTCCCCAGGCTCCAGGCCTCAGGCCTCGGTCACCGCCACCACGTATTGAGTGCAGCTCTCTAGAACATAAAGGTGGTGGAGATGGTTTTTAAAAGGAGAATTGTATGAGAGCCAGATCTTCGTTCACTCTCACACTGGTCATCTCAGAGGTACTCGACACTTCCCGTTGATCCTCAGTTGCCAGGGCTTCACTCTTCTGTCTCCCAGCCTCGGTGAGCTCTGGGTTGTCCTGGGAAGAGGCGGTCCTTGTGTTTTCTTTCAGCACAGCTGCGGTGAGCCCGGGAAGCCTGCCGGCCCGTGTTAACCTCTGTTCTGTCACCACAGGTTTCTGCTACACTTAGCGGACAAAACTGGTGGCATAATTGTAACAAATGATAACTTCAGAGAATTTGTGACTGAGTCCATCTCTTGGAGAGAAATTATTACAAAAAGGTAATATTTTCTTTGTCCTTGGTCAAAAATGCTTTTGTTGTTCGGTTCTGTTTACATTTTGTTTTGTGTTCACCTTGGCCCTGCAGAAAGCAAAATAGGAACCAAAGTCCCCGAACACTCTGCTCCCAAGACCTGGGCCTCTGGGCAGGTGGCAGGACCCAGCAAAGCAGGGAGCCTGCAGGTGGAGGGCGGGGGCTGTGGAGCCTGCAGGTGGAGGGCGGGGGCTGTGGAGCCTGCAGGTGGAGGGCGGGGGCTGTGGAGCCTGCAGGTGGAGGGCGGGGGCTGTGGAGCCTGCAGGTGGAGGGCGGGGGCTGTGGAGCCTGCAGGTGGAGGGCGGGGGCTGTGGAGCCTGCAGGTGCCTCAGACAGTGTGCTGCCGGGGCAGGGACTCATCTCTGCAGCAGAAGTGGCCCCAGCCTGGCCTTGCCCTGATACCAGGGAGACTTGGGCAGCTCACCAGGCTCCACACTTCACTCAGCTATGAATATGAATGTTGTTGGTAAATCGGGGTCCCAAATCCAGTTCCAGTGTGGAGGGTATGGGGTGGGGTTCCCCCCACACCAACAAACAGTTCTTAGCCACCAGCATGGTGTCTCAGATCTCAGCTGTGACACTGTCAACCTGGAGGCAGCCTCGGGCCCCCAGATTCTCGGCTCAGCCCCACATTGCTGCCCTCCCTGCCCCCCCCCCCCCCCGACACCAGTTGCCCGGGCTCTTACCTGCGCTCTGACCAACCAGGTTCCAGCCCCCACCTCCAGCTCAGAGTGCAGTTGCAAGTCCACGTCCCCTGGACTTCTGACCACCTGGCTTAGAGGAGCGGTTCCCACAGCCCCTCCTTGGGCTGGATTGATTTGCTAGGACAGCCCACAGTACTCGGGAAACACGTCACGGACGAGCTCACGGATCTGTTGTGGAAGGGTGGGCTCAGGAGCAGCCAGAGGGGGAGGAGTGCGCAGGCAGATGGGGGCTGGAGCTCCTCCCTCCTCAGCACCCCCACTCGTCCAGCAGCCCAGGGCCTCTGTGAAGCCCCTTCCCCGGGGTTTTTGGGGGCTTCATTGACAGGCGTGACTAATTCAGTAACCCCCTCTCCCCTTCCAGTAGGTGGGGGGGCAGACTGTAAGTTCCAACCCTCAGATCACTTGGTTTGCTCTCCTGGCAACCAGCCTCCATCCTAAGTGCTTCCTGAAGTCACCTTGTTAACATAACAGAAGACACTTGATCACTCTACACTTGGAGAATTCCAGGGTTTCAGGAACTGCAGATAAATTCCAAATCCATAGGGGAGAAGTCTATTTTGGACATCCGAGTGACCAAATGCATATGTTTTTTCTAAATCACAGTATCACAAGTGGGTTCAGTGACAGCTGTGACTCCAGCAAGAGGGTGGGACCACAGTCAGTGCCTGATCAGATCCTCCCTTCTTGGGAGGAGGGAGAGCATTTCTGTTCTCTGCTATTGGACGCTTCTGTGAGCGTTTCACCATCCTAGTGGGACCGTCTGTACCGAGGCATGTCTGAGTGTCATTCAGGATAAAGTCACACCAGGACTGAGCACTCACTGCTGTGAGCTTTATTGTGACGAGCATGGCCCAGTTGCTTGAGGCCAGTGGGCACAGCTTGCCAGACAGAGCGTGATGTGACCAGTTCCTTCAGAGAGAGCCAGCCAGGCGGGTGTGCCAGAGGTGTCGGAGCAGAGAGCACCTCAGCCCTGTAGCGCCACTAGGTGGTCACCGCGGGTGGGCGCCACAGCTGCCGGGGTCCAGTACTTGTATTTTGCTGAATCATTAGGGGATTATAGAAAAATGGTATTTTGTGATAAATGCCCAGGTAAGAGTTAATTACTGTTTGCACGTTGACCCATATGTTGTTCGAAGCTTGTGATAGCCGAACTGAGAATGGTCTTTGACCTCTGGCACAGTTTACAAGCCATGCATCTTTTAGGACTTGTTTCTGTTGGATCTTTGCCCTGCGCTCATTGTCGGTATTTATTGGACACTCATCTGTGTACACATGCAGTTTAAATGCATTAGGACATGTTTGCGCAGAAACCCAGATCTGGACCAAGACAGGCACTTGGACTTGTGTTTTTTACATTTTCCCCAGACTTGATAAAGGATACTCCACTGACCTAGGAGTTTATTTTTTCATATATCGTATTATGTTCATTTTTAATTTGTTTTTTATCCTTACCCGAGGACACTTTCTAATATTTTGTTCAGATAGAGTGGGAGCGGGGGAGGGAGAGAGAGAGAGAGAGAGAGAGAGAGGGAGGGAGAGAGAGAAACATCGACGCGAAAGGGACACATCGAGTGGCTGCCACCCGCACGACCAACCAGGGCTGGGGACAAACTGCAACCAAGGTACATACCTTTAGCAGGAACCGAACCCAGGTCTCTCAGGACCGCAGGCCAATGCTCTAACTGCTGAGCCAAACCAGCCAGGGCTGTGTTCCTTTTTAAAAGGTTGTCTTCAGTGGGTTTGCCAGTGGACATGTTAAAAACTGTCACGGCCGAAAGCTCTTCTAGAAGAAGGGTTATTGGGCCTTTTGTAGCCAGAAAGGATCTGGTCCAGGAGCATGAAGTTCGAACCACCAGCCGCAGGGCTGGGCAGAGAGGACAAAATGTCTGAAGTCCTGGGGCCGACAGGTGCTTTTACACATTATGTTTAGGGGGGGAGAGACATCCGCTGTTTTGAAAAATGCACACGGATCAGGAGGGCAGGGAGAGGTGCGCCATCCGTGAGGAATGGATGGCCACTGCTTTGATCGGCTGTGGGCAACAGCCCTGAGAGTTCGTGCTCCTGGACGCGGGGGCTCGGGGCTCTGCGGTGTGGGAGCGCCGGGCGGCCGGAGTGAGCCCGCGGGCTGGCTGGTCCCCTGCCTTCCTCGGCTGTAACTCACAGCAGGACGTCCCAGCCGGTTCCTCGGGCGCATTCGTTCAGAAGTGACCCTTGTTGAGCACCTGTCATGTCCTGAACTGAGTCTAAGTCTTGCTTTTTGTTTTCTTACTGCTCATTTCAGATGCCTTTTTGAATTACATTAGTTCATTTTTCTTTCTTTCTAATGAAAACAATGATTTTTTTTTAGTCCTCCCTGGAGGGTATTTTTCCATTGATTTTCAGGGAGGGAAGGGCAGGGGGAGAAGCATCGATGTGAGAGACACGTCAGTTGGCCTTCCGAAGGACCCTGGCCAAGGTACGTGCCCTTGATGGGAATCGGACCCGTGACTCTCTGGTCCACGGACTGATGCTCTAACCGCCGAGCCAATCAGGTCAGAGCTGTAAGTCTTGCTTTTTAAAGTGATATTGAAAGTCACATTGAGGGAAGCTGCTTCCCAGGCTCAGACAAAAACCTGAAGGTCTCGGTAGGAAGTAGGAGAGCCCGCTGGTGAGAGCTGCTCACCTGCTATACTGGAGAAGTCGAAACGGTGTCGCTCGGGTGTGCGTTTGTCCTTTAGGCGGGCGAGCGTGTCGCGATGTCACAGGCGATCTTGCTTCGGAGCCAGCTGGCTGCCTGAGACCCCCCCGCCGCAGTCCGCGCGGCCTCTCCTCCAGCGCGGTCTCTCTGTTGCAGGTTGCTCCAGTACACCTTCGTGGGGGACATATTCATGGTTCCCGACGACCCTCTGGGCAGAAGCGGGCCTCGGTTAGAAGAATTTCTCCGGAAGGAAGTCTTCCCGAGGTATTTTCTTCAGACTGTCGTGTGTCAACTCGTTTCTCTCCCTTCCCTGTGCTATGCAAGCATGTCCCTGGACACGGACGCTGGCCTTTCGTTCCGTTTCCTGATAGTCTTAGAGTCAGTGCTCGCGTCGTGTGTGCAAGCTGGTCAGGCAAAGCACCCCAGAGACCAGATCCATCCTCGTCTGGGTTTTTTGGCTTGGATCCTTTGGATGCTAACCCTAGGGGAGGATGAGGAGCCAGACCTCCTGTGGATCCAAAAAGACAGCAGGTTTTGCTGGTGGTCACTCACTAACAGATGCCACTTTGACTCAGTATGTGTGCCTGAGGGTCTTCACATCCCTTTCTGGTCACCTGCTGTTACTGCTGTGTTCCTTCATTCACTGCTCAGGGACCACTGCGTGGTGAGCTGTCACCTTCTGCTCCACGGAGGGAGAGCGGGCGTTCCCCACGTCCGACGGGCTTGACACCCAGGTTTTGTTTGTTGTAGTGTGGGTTTGCTCTAGGGGGCAGGGTCATTGTTAGCTGCAGTACCCCATGTGCCTGGCTGGCAGGTCCTGTGATCCAGTAACAGGTCTCACTTCAAACTAAAACAGGCTGCACTTGTGTGTGTTTCCCAGCAGATGTCTACACAAGGAAGGCTTTTCTGTGAATCGTGTCCGTTTACAGGGAGATCCTTTGGGGCTTCTAGACTTGGATGTGGTTTGGGGGGTGGCTTCACACACAGGTATCTTCTGCAGAGGAGACCAGGTGACTTCCTGCCCTGGTCTTGTGAATCCTTTCTCTTTTGAGCCTTTGGGTTTTATTACAAAGGATGAGGACTTGGTACCCGAAGGCCCTGTTTCTTTGCCCCGAGAGATTGGAGCATTGTCAGCACCTGCTGAACATCACACGTCTCGTCTCTTTCCAGCATCTTACCTTGAAATCCGCTGCCAGGCTCACGTCCCGAGGCCTGTGTGCAAGTCCATGGGTCAGACTTAATGGAAAGAGAGCTCTCTGCTCCCCCCACAACCAGAGCGGCCTGGCAGCAGGGCAGTCTGCTCACCTAATGGCTCTTGACAGAGGTGCCAACTAATGGCCGAGGAAGTGAAACACACCCTGTGCATATGAGCTGTGGATGCCACTTTCTCTTCCAGACTTTGGGGACAGAGGGCTGCCCGTCTGCCCACAGGGCTCCCTTTTCTGAGACCTGACAACCAGGACCCCACACAGGGTCAGAATCTCAGAAGAGTGGGGCCCCGTCATCCATACCTGTTACAAGTGCCCAGGTGATGCGGGTGCCCCAGGTGTAGAGCAGACCGCGGGCGGGGTCGGTCCTCGTGGGCGTTCCGTTCGGACCAGGCTGCGGGTGGTGCCGTCAGAAGCAGGGGCCAGCCTGTGGGCCTCGAGGTCAGCAGGTCGTTTCGGCAGCGTCTCTCCTTTATCTTACAACCCAACTCACCCGGACTCACTTCCCTTCACAGAGACATGCAGCCCCTCCTTCCCGCCCTGCCAGCCGTGGGCATGCTCGCGCCCAGCTTCAGAGGGCCTGGCGCCCAGGCAGCCAGCACCAGCCCCCAGCCTCCGGCCCGGGTCCAGGGCCCTCCGCCCAGCGCCTGGCTCCCTCAGCAGCCCCGCTTCCCGCTTGTGCCCAGCCTGCCCGGCATGCCCCCGAGCGTGCCCCTGCCGGCCCAGCGGTCCTCCGCGGAGACCAGCGAGCTGCGGGGGGCCCTGCTGAAGATCTTCCCGGGCGCCGAGCAGAGGCTGAAGATCGACCAGGTCCTGGGGGCGCATCCGTACATGAAAGACCTGAACGCGCTTTCGGCCATGGTGCTGGACTAGGGCCGCACGAGGCCACGTAATGTGAAGACACGGTCTCCGGTGGAGATGCAGTCGTGTACAGAAGACACAGACGTTCTGTGTTGTAAAACCTGGGTTTCCAAACCAGCTTTTTCTATATATAAATTATGCTGCTACACAGAGTTAACATTTTCTGTAAAGGGAAAGTGTACATTTTCTGCCTGTTCAGAACTGTTTAATAGCAGTTACTCTTGAGTGTATTACATTTTTATGTTTTTTAAACTATTTTCCTTAAAGCTGAAAATATTGACACATTGATATGATTAGCCTTTCTAAATAAAAAAAAAAAATCCTGCTTTCTTAGGGGAAGCAAGACCTCTTAAAGCATATTTTCTTGAGATGACTGTCACGTCCACTCACGGGAAGTGCGCCCCTGCCGCCGCCTCTGCCCTCCCCTCTGGAAGTGGCTCTGCTCCTGTGGGGTCTTGCAAGGGAGCCGGTTGCCAGACTGGCCAGGGCGCCACTAGATGGCATCTTGTGCCTGCCATTGTTGGCGAGGCGAGGAGCTCCACCCCACAGCTCTCCCGCCCCACCCCTGGGGGGCCGAGCCCTGCCCGCCGGCCCACGCCCCTGCCCGCTGCCCGCTGCTCCGCCCTGGCACACGCACGGCGGAGCCTCACTGACCTGACCTGACTCTCGTCCTTTGTTAGCCTTTGAAAGTGGGGGGGGGGCGCAGTGAACAGCCTCTCAACTGTGGTGATTTTGTGTCCGTGGCCACAGGAGATGCTCACGTGAACTCTGCGGTTTTGCCAAAAACAGTTTCTATTTTCAAAATGGCCCAAGCCAATAAAGCGTTAGTTGCTTGTGTGGGGGTGCAGAGCCCCTGTGTTTATTTCTCCTGTGCTTGTCTCTGTAGGGCCCTCCTAAGCTGCCCTTCCGGGGAGCCTTCTCGGAGTTGGTCTCAGTGCTGTGTCTTCAGTGCTGCCCACATTCCGTGTCAGTGAAGCTCTTCGCTGGCAGTTAATGAACATCCTCACGGTTCTCTGGAGCTTCGAAGGGCTCATGTTTCACACCCGTTCCTCCCCAGGCTGCTCACGGTCACTGTCCAGCCCTTGGATCCTGTCTCCCAGCCCCCGAGACCCCGCCGAGGCCTGGTTTGCCCTCTGGCAAGGGGACTCCCAGCCGTGAGCAGAGCTGGGTGGCTCCCAGGCGGCTAGACTTCTCCCATCTCCTCTCCTCTCGGATGCCCTCCAGGCACAGGCCAGCGTGGGACTGGTGTCAGCTGTCACTGTGGGTGCAGGCACAAGGCTTGAGGTGGGCCAGGAAGTGGCTTCGGACACTGCAGGTGTGAGGCCGGGCTGTCTGGCAGTGACCCTGACCTTCGGGGTCAAGGTTTGGCCCAGCAGCCTTGCCAGTCCAGTGTTTCTCTGCCGTTTCAGAGACGGGCCCAGGTGGCGCTCCCTGGTAGCCGGGGCCCAGCCCCAGGTCCGCCTGGAGGGGCCGGGCCTCCCTGGTGTCAGGTGCAGCTGGGTGGGCTCTGCCAGTGACTGGCGCTTTGCCCTTTGAAGTGTGTATTGTCTGTGAGCCCTCTGCCTGCCCCTTTCTTGGGTGTGGGAAGGAAAATGCAGAGAACTGTGGGAGGCGTACAGAAAACACGATTCACAGATCTTTCTGAAATTCATCAAGTCTTTAGTTAAATTTAATACTTAAAACCTCAATTTTCAAATCATCAAAAACAGTCATTACCTACTCCGACTCCTCTTGATCCTCAGCTCAGTGCGGATGAGTGTTTCTGTGGTCTGCCTGCCGCGGGGGACGCCTGAGCCGCCTCCAGGCCTTCGTGCCCAGGGGCCGTGTCCTGCAGCTCCCACCCGCGCAGGCCGCAGGGCACAGGCCATCTGCAGGCACGCCCTCTGCTCGAAGGCCGTCGTCCGAGACCGAGCTGCAGCTGTGCTGGTTGCATCAGGCCCGCAGGTGCCCCAGGCTCTCCTCCGGGAGGAGGCTTGTGTGACCTTTGTGCCCAGTACCTGTGTTTGCGCCCCTGGAAGCTGTCAGCTAGCCGGGCAGTGAGAAGTCACCTCGGCCATCCTGGGTGACTGGTCATCGTTGTCTGGCAGGCTTGACCTTGTGTTGGCAGTGTCGCCGGAGACTTTGGTGTTGGTGAGAGGAGGGGGGGCATCTGACCTGCACTTGAAGACCCGTGCCCTCCAGGGTGCTCTCTGCAGCCCCAGCTCCCGGTCCCGGCCTCCCCTGCACCCACCTCGCAGACCAGGCCCGTGCCCTCCAGGGTGCTCTCAGCAGCCCCAGCTCCTGGTCCCGGCCTCCCCTGCACCCAGCTCGCAGACCTTCCTGCCTTCAGGAAGCCTTCCCCCAGCACCGCCAGGCCCCTTCTGCCTGCTTCCTGTGTCTGCACCCCCCCATCTAGTGGTCATTACCTACCTCCTCGTTATTCCTGCATATTTCAGGTCCTTCGATTAAAAGAAGATAACTGATTTCCTTTGAGGTTCATCCTTGGCCATTGCTTTCCTCGCCTCCTCGCCTCCGCGCCCTGCTCCCGGCCTGCACACTGGCCTCCGCCCTGCCGCGTGGGGATGGCACGGGAGATGCGAGACACCGCTCATGCCGCAGGACCCCCAGACCCACGCCCACGCTGGGCTTTGGCAGTTGACACCGTTGACCTCCTTTTCCCCAGAGGCCAGTCCCTCACCCTCCCCAGGGTGCTTCTGGAGCTTCGGGCCAGCGGAGGGACTCAGGGCGGACAGGGCGGCTCTCCCCGCGCGGACTCCGGCCCGTCCCGAGGTGTGTGCGGCGGCTCTGGGAGAGGCTGGACGCCTGCACGGCAGCCCCTGCCCGCGCCCGTGCGGTGGGCCGTGGACCACAACTGACCAGCACCAGTCACCTTGGGGAGCCGCTCTTCCCGCTCCAGCTGTGCCCGCTGCCCCTCAGGAGTGCATTTCCAGCTCCACCTGAAGCCCCGGGACACCCGCGGGCTCACCCGGCCCGCGGCCTGCCTCTGCCTGGCTGGCCTTTCCCGCCGCCGCCTCCCAGGCCGCCTCGTCCGCCCTGGCTCCTCTCTGGCCCTTTGACCGCCAGTTGTGCCCCCGTGGGCTGCAGTGGCTAGAGACCAGAGCACCCAGCTCAGACCCGGGTGTGGTCTCCTTGGCTGCCCACCCCCGGCCTGCTTGTTTGCCCACTTTGTTTCCCCACCCCCACGCTCACACTTCCTGGCTGTGGTCTCCTGCCCGGTGCACCTCCTCTCTGCCCCCCAGTGGCGTCCCCTCGGGGCCCGGCCCGGAGCCCACCTGCCGAGCAGAGGCAGCCGTGGTCCAGGGCCCGCGGAGCGGCCGGTGTCCCTGCGGCCGTGTAGCTTTACCTCCCTCCGGACTGTGAGCCCCTGCGGGCCTTGCACGTGGGTGCTCAGCTGAACTGGAGGACCACGGTGCCCGCTCTGCCTCGGAGACCTCAGTGGGCGGCTGCCTGGCTCCCTCCCTCTTCCCTTCTGCAGGGATGGCACCTGGCCGGCTGGCCACGCAGTGGGCTGGGGGGGGGGGAGGGCAGACACCTGTCCTGCTGGGGCTGACCCGAGCCCCTCCTCCTAGATTCTCCCTCTGGTGATGGGAGCCGGGAGGGTCACGCCAGACCTGCGAGAGGCAGAAGCCAGCCTGCGAGAGGCCTGGTGGCGTAAGTCCTAGGTCCCTGTTGTCATGAACACCTTCCTCCACTGTCCTGGCAGCCCAGGATCCTAACCTCAGCTGGTACAAACGGGTGCACCTCCTTTAAAACCAAAAGGCAAGTGTTCTGCATCACTGCCCTCGGCGCAGCAGCTGAGACGGGGAGGCACCTCGTGTCTAGAAAGACCCCGAGGATGTGCGCCCACAGAACTGAGAATGCTCACCCCACTTGGATGGTCAGAGCCCCGCGGCTGCGGAGGGACAGCGTCCTTCCCTCCCCGGCTGCCCCTCGGGGCCCTGCTTCTCGAGGCCCAGTGCCCGAGTGGGGTGAGACCACTCCTGCCCACGTGCGCTTGGCCCTGCTGAGCTCTCCCCGCCCCGCCGGAAACAGGCCGACCGGGGTGGTCCTCCCGCCCAGGCGCTGGGAGGGACAGGTGTGTTCTTACTGCTGTGGCTCTCGTCAGCGGCCCTGGGGACACTTCTGTGCCTGCCACAGAGCACCCACACCTCCCCTGGCCAGAGGCCAGGGACCCAGTCTCCAAACGCTCCGTGATCACATCTTCCAGATTCTGGGCGTGTCCTCTGCCCCTGCCCACAGGGCGGGGCCGGGCAGATGGGGGGCAGGGTATAGGCCCTGCCAGGAGAGTGGCCTGGCGACACTGAGCAGAGCGGCCGCTGGGATGGACCGGTTCCCACAGCCGGTGTCCAGGGCTCGGGGTCCCCCACAGGCCCTGCCACGCCCCACGACGCACACTCTCCCACAGGGGCACCTACGCGACCCCGCCCCCACCC